CTTAGTTATTATGTCAAAACATTCATATTCTACTCATAGAAAGATTCACTTGTACCCTTGCAAGATGAACCACAGAAGTGAACCCTCGAATCCCTCTCACTGCAGGGACTTTATCCTGGAATCCAGTTCCCAAATCCAAGAGGAACGCAGAACCTCCTGGGAATCAGACTTGAGGCCAAGAAGGAATGCTTCATTTCAAACTGTTTCACAAGAGTTGGCCAGAAATTTGCGCTGCCTGGACACAGATGGGCCCACCGCAGGCCGCCGGATCCAGTCAGAGGGCGGCCTCTGAATCCAGGAAGCACCAGTGGGCGGGCACTCCAAGGAGATTTTCGGGGGCTTTGGCACCCAGGAGGTACTGCAAGACCGCCCAGGTCACGCCCCTTCCCTCTAAAAGAGGCCACACCTACAGCCCTGCCTGTCACCCGAGCCGCTGCAGGTACCACCAGAGGCGGAGCAAGGAACTGCCTCTGGTCTCCCCGCTGAGGTCCAGGGCTCAGCCGCTCCACACCCCTGCCTGGCCCTGCCTTCTCGCAGCCCCGCGGATCTCCGTGGTCAGGCGCTGTCCGCGGGCCAATGGCCTGCCTGAAGGCCCTCTGGGCTGCGCCAAGGGCTGCAGACAACCGGCACCCGCTCTAGTCCCTACTCTCCAGCCACAGCTGCCGCTCCAGGCGCTTGGCCCTGGCAGTACCCAGGCCTCTCTGCCCCTCCCCTGCCCCGGCGGCCGGCTTTCGCAGGGATCCGAGCCCTGTCCTGGCCTGGGTCCCCAGACAACTTTTCTGGGCCTCAGGCCAGACGGGCTGGTGACTGGAGGAGACCCTCGGGGCTCCACCTTCCCCGCGTCCTATAACTTGCGGGCCCCGCCCGCCTGCCCCGGCCCACCAGGGCTTCTGACCGCCCAGCCAGTGTCAGCGGGGCGTCCCCACCCCCGAATCGGACCGTGCACTTCCACGGCCCTCGAACCAGCTCGCCCGCGATCCGGGGCCGCGCAGCCACTGGCCTCTGTCTCCCCGCCCGTAAGCTGAGCAGCAAGCGGAGCAAGAAACTCGGAATAGGGTGGGAACTGCGCAGGAGGGACGCGGACCCGCCCCGCCCCGGGCCTAGTCCGGACCCAGCTTGGCTCCCTCCTCGGCCCCGCCCCGGATGCGTGACGCACAAGGCCCGCGCCGCCCGTCGGGCCATGCTGCTGTCATCAGGCCGCGCCTCGTGGGCCGACGTGGTTCCCCAGGTTGCCCAAGCTTGCGCCATGGCCGCGGCCACCGCCAGCCCCCCGGAGGTGATCCGCGCGGCGCAGAAGGACGAGCACTACCGCAGCGGGCTGCGGAGCGCGGCGGGCGGCGCCCTGCACAGCCTCGCTGGTGAGGGCCAGGGTCACCTTGCGACTATCCTGTGGCCTGGGACCCCGGGCCAGGTGGCTGGAGCGGACGCCCGACGCCTCGGTCCAGCTGGGCCGCCCGCCGACCCTCCCCCAGCGTTTCCGAGTCCTGTCGGCCGGCCACCCAGGCCACTTGGTCCCGCCTACCCCTCCGCGCCTTGAGCTGAGTGTAGCAGCCGGCGTTGGGCAGAGTCCACCAGAGAAATGGGTGGGCGCGGGCCAGGGAGGGCGTCGGGTACATTCTGAGGGGCCGCGGTGCCTGGCCGGGCCGCCTTCGGCGCGTTTTGAGCAGGGAAGTGGCGGTCACAACAAAGTTGTTTTATACGCTTGTTTTACAAATCACACGTACTGAGCCCTAGGCACTGTTCTGGGTGCTTTTGAAATATTAGCTATTAACATGTTTAATCTTCAAATACGGGTAGGACTTAATGGAACTCTGCCGGCAGATAGGCAGATTGAGGTTCCAAGGAGATCTCACGACCAGAAATTAAGAGCTGAGATTTGATGTTGACAGTGGGTCTCACGCTACCGTCTTAGTCATTGCGCTAGGCTGTCTTTCCAGGTGACCCATGCTCCAGCACGGTTGCCCGGGGGATATCAAAGCCAGACATGACTGTAGGTCTGGGGTTCCCAGGAGGCCTTCGAGGCCCAGGCTGAAGTGGGTGAGAGGGAGACAAGGTGGTGCTCCCTGAGACGGAGTGGTCCAGCGCAAGGTGCTGGAGGCTGGCGAGAGGCAGGAGTATGGCTGAGGCAGGGTGGTGTTAGTTTCACAGGAGGCCTGGGACTTGGTCTGGGCCTGGGCCACTGTCAGGAAGGATGGTTGCTCCTAATCCTAGAGGATCCCAGTACTTTCCCAGAAACAATGGTGTCTTTTTCTCCACTCAGGTGCGAAGAAGTGGCTGGAGTGGAGGAAAGAGATCGAGCTGCTCTCAGACGTGGCCTACTTTGGCCTAACCACACTTGCTGGTAGCAGCTCCCCACAGGACCTTAGCATCGAGGGCCCACCACGCACACCAAGTCCAGAAGATGGGGCCAGCTGCTGGGCAGAGTGGGAATCCTTGGGCCCAAGTGGGAGGTGCTTCTGAGACCTTTCCCAGAGGGAGCCAGACCTCAGGCCCAGGGCAGCAGCCTCTCCTTTCATCTTTTTTGTGTCCCTGCAGTCCTTGGGCCAGTGTGCCATTGAGACCTGTTTCTCAGTGGCGTGTCCTGGTGGCACAGGTAGAGCAAGTTCTGAGCCTGTTGCAGGAGTGCAGGCAGGAGGCCCTGGTGGAGCAGGGGTGGTTCTGTGACCAAGGCTAACTCATCCTTCAGAGAGAAGAGTGGGTTGGAAGGCCCTCAGGGTCACCAGCTCCACCTCAGTGTCCAGCAAGGGGCTTTGAGCATCTCCTAAGTGCCAGTGCAGTCTGTACAAGGCATCACCTGAGGGTGCCATGGAGTGCATGCTCTCATCAGTGGGAGATAGACTGTGTTACACATAAGACATCATGGAAGTTGATAAGTTCATGAGAGAGAAAGGCTGTATGGCAGGGGAGAGCACTTTCCAGATAGGCAAGTGAGCGGTCAGGGCAAAGGCCCTGAAAAGGGGGCATCCTCAGTGACCCCAAGAGACCCGTGGACTCCGTAAGCCTTTGACGTTCCCACTGCAAGACATGGGGTGTTGTAAGAACATGGGTAGGACCCAGACTGCACTTCAGAAAGACTGACAGGGGCTGCTCAGGTCCACCAGGGAGAGGGGTGAGACACGCAGGGAAGAGGCACCAGGGTGCTCCATACTTTCACCTCGGGAACAGGAGGGCCAGTGTTACCACCTACAGAGTTTGGGGGAGGGGGGCTTTCTCAGATTGGGCCTGGAAGTTCAGTATTGGCAGGAGAGAATCGAGTGTTTTTGGAATCCATATGGCGGTATCAGGGAGGCAGCTGACCTGGAATCCTGATGGTCAGGAGCCATCTAGGCTCAGGCAAGGGCATTAGTCAGGTGTCATGGCTGTGTGGGAAGAGAGTCATGGGAATGGTCCTGTCACTTGCAGGAAGAGGAGGAGCACCTGAGGAGAAAGGGGAGCCCTGAAGTGGGGAGGGGGATGTGAGCCAACCAAGGTCCTGGGATCCCAGAGCAGCAGGAGTGGCTGGTGGTGTCACGTCTGCTGGGGATCATGGTGAGACCACAGCAGATTAAGCACTGAGAGTTGGTGTTGGCCTCTGGGGGAGTACAGAGGCAAGGGGACAGGCTGCTGATGGGAGCTGGCCCTATCCAGTGCTGGGGGCAGGAAATGGCTAGGGTAAGCCGGGAGCCTGTCCCTATCAGGCACTCCTAAGCCCCACACGCCCATCATCTTCCTCATAGGCTACCAGACCCTCGGAGAGGAATACGTCAGCATTGTGCAGGTGGACCCCTCCCAGAGGCAGGTGCCCTCACTGCTTCGCCGCTGCGTGCTGGTTGCGCTGCATGCCATCCTGCCCTATCTGCTAGACAAGGCCCTGCTTCCCCTGGAGCAGGAGCTGCAGGCTGAGCCTGATGGAAGGCGGCTGTCACACGGGACCCTGGTGCCCGGAGGGCGAGGCCGATCTGGGGTACAGCGCTGGGTGCGGCGCCACACTGCCACCCTGACGGAGCAGCAGAGGAGGACACTCCTGCGGGCCGCCCTCGTCTTCAGACAGGGCCTGGCCTGTCTCCAGCGGCTACACGTTGCATGGTTTTATATCCATGGCATCTTCTACCACCTGGCCAAGAGGCTCACTGGAATCACTTACGTAAGTAGCAGTGCTGAGGACACAACCACCTCTAGCCACCATGGCCTGATATGGGTGCATCTGCAGAGCTGGCTCTGGGACCTGTGCTGGCTGACATGTCACAATTCTAGTGTTTGTGTTAAGGCTCCAACCAAATCCTCTACTTGAAAAGAAGTGGGTTTGTTTGGTTATATTTAGCTGAAAGACCCAAGTCCAGTTTCCACAGACCCCAAGTATAGAGTCTTTCTTCCTGCAGCCAGCATCTGTGGGGTGGCCTTGGGGTTCGGGCACAGCCACTGGTGATAGGCCCTATGCTGGGCTCTCCACTGACTGAGGGGTCACTGGTCACATCTCAAGGCAGATCCCTGAGTATGGCCCTGTGACCGCCACTCCGGGGAGCACAGGCTCTGGCAGGTCCCAGCCCTTGCCCCCACCACCTCAACCCCTGGCTCCTGGGCCCCTGCCTACCACCGTCCAGCTACCCGGAGGAAAGGGCAGGGTCTTGAGCCATTATTCCAACAGCGACCCTTTTAGTGGCCAGATGGGCCTTGTCAACCCCAGCATTCTCGCAGGCTTTCCTGGCTGGCAGCTGAAGCTCTTGCCCCGCCCCACCCCCCACGTCCTCCATCACATTCCGTGCTGCTGTGTTGCCCTGCTGTGTAGCCTCCCAAGACCCCTTCCTGCATCCCAGTGCCACCTGGACCCCACCCATTGCCTCCCTTGTCACTCAGCATCGTCAAGGTGTTTGCTGAGCTGCTGCGACAGAGGCCCCAACCTAGGGAGGTCCCCAGCCATTGCAGGTCTAGCTGACCTGTGTCAGTTTCCTGGCCAATGAGAAGGGATGTGAGGAGTTAGAAGCGGACAACTTTCAGTCATGTGGCCAGAAGCTACATGTGTCAACAGCTGCAGGAGACAGTAGGACAGTTTCCCTAAGGGCCATGGGCCTTGCAAAATTGGAGGCTCTTGTCCCTGCAGCAGTAGCTGTTGGGCAGTGTCTGCACCTGCAGTTGTCTCCTGCCCGATGCCCTGCCTTCTTAGGCTCCCTGCTGCCCTGTTTCTCTCTTGAGAGAGTCTCTAGAGAACCCAAAATCTTCCCTTTTCCCTGGCCTGTCCAGCCTTGAGACTCAAACCTTGACAGTGCTGGCAACCCCAAGTCCACCTCTAGCTAAGGCCCCTCCCTCCCTCAGCTGCCCAGCAGACACTCAGACCCGGGCACCTGCCCTGCAGCTGGGGGAGGGGGTGGCCCACGTGCTCAGTGCGTTATGCCAGCTCTCTGCATGACGTGACTGAGCCAAGTCCCTTCAAGGACTGGGTGTGGGCCCATCTGCCTTGACAGCTCCGTGTCCGCCACCTGCCTGGAGAGGACCTGAGGGCACGTGCCAGCTACAGGCTGCTGGGGCTGGTGTCTCTGGTGCACCTGGCACTCTCTGCAGGGCTACAGCTGTACGGCTTCAGGCAGAGGCAGCGAGCCAGGAAGGAGTGGAGGCTGCACCGCAGCCTGTCCCACCGCAGGTGCGTGAGGGCGCACCTGGGCTGAGGCTGCCCCCAGCACACCCCAAGGAACATGCAGGGCACTCTCCCCATGATTCTCTCCCCCTCCCCAGGAACTCCTTGGATGAGAGAATAGCTCCCAGGAGCCCCCTGTGCACGCTGTGCCTGGAGGGACGCAGACACCCAACAGCCACGCCCTGCGGCCACCTCTTCTGCTGGGAGTGCATCACTGCCTGGTGCACCTCCAAGGTGGGCACCTAGACCAGGTTGCCCCACCTGGCTGTCAATCCGGGGTGGGCTAGGCACCTTTGTAAAAATCCCCAGGTAAGTCAGATATGGTCCATCTTTGGGGTTGAAGCACGAAATTCACACATTGAGGCTTTGCTGGAGCAGCTGTTGGTAGGTACACAGACCCTAGCCAAGTCTGGCCCGCCAGCCCCAGCATGTCCTGCCCCCTGGAGTTCACACCACGCTTGGAATCCTTGGCGCATTACACAACGCCAGTCAGCCTCATGTAGGACAGGTAACTGGTGACAACACACACACTGCCTCCCCTTAGCAGTGGGCCCAGGGAGAAATGCCTGGGTGCCAACAGGAAGAGTTTGCTTTGGGTTGTGCAGGGCTTACAGACAGGACATGCATTCATTCCCTAGTGATGTCACTATGCCATTTACTGATGGAGTGTGCAGAGTTCATGTTTGCCTCTCTGCACATGAGGTAGGTGTTTGTCCCTCAGAGCAGCTCATCTGTGGGCAACACCTAGAAGGGACAGTCCAGTACTCACTACCTGGTGGCTCTGACAGAGCCTAGGGCCCTCAGCTCTGGAGCTCCTACTCTGACACACTTGCTCGCCCCCCTCACTGCCTGCCGAGGAGTACTAGGCACAAACATGGCAAGGCTGAATACCAGGAGGGCCCATCTAAAGTGTGCAAGGTTCACAGGCACTGGGGGTGGGGGAGTAGTCCCAGTGTGGGGCTATCTCTGTGGCATGGGCAAGACCCAATGGGACTCAGGCGCTTCTTAGCAAAGGGCTTTTTCTTGGTCTTAAGTTTAGGAAAGTAGTAGGACATTTTTTTATTCCATGTTGTGACTATAGAAAATAAGGCACAAGATGCTGGGGAAGGCAGCCCTAGTGGCCACTGCCACCATAATTCCCCTCCCTTCCACAGACGGAATGTCCCCTCTGCAGGGAGAAGTTCCCCCCACAGAAGCTCGTCTACCTGCGGCACTACCGCTGACCAGCACCCAGGTGGGCCCAAGTGGATGGAGGAGCCCTGGAGTCTTGGAATATGGAAAAATTAACTTTACTGGTACAGAAATTATAGAATTCTCAACATTGTGTTTTTTGTCACATGAGATACTCCGATACCCACCTAGTAGAGGACAGAAAGCTGATCCTGCCTGGGAGACCTGCTGCCCTATGCTGTGGCTACAGCAGGCAGGCTACTCCTAGGGCTGAGCAGCATTCCCCACTCCCTGTGGTTCCACTGAGTCACTCTCAGGAATTTCACTTACTAAACAAGGTTTTAGCTTCCCTTCCCTTCCCCACACCATACAGTTGAGACTTCTCTCAGAAGTAGGCCAGAAGGAAACTTTATTCATTTGAGGTGTGAGAAGGCGACTGGCAGCTGCACTGAGGAGCAGCTGAATAAGGGGACACATTCACCTCAGTCAGCACAGTGGACAGGCTGCACTCCACCCATCCAGGGAGGCCCTGCAGAACACCAGGGCAGAGCTGTCCCCCAGGACTTAATGTCAAGACCACGTGGCCATGGACAGAAACAAGCCAAGGGTCACTGTCTTTTGTGTGACATTTTTGGCACGCACCTTTTAGTGCACGTCAAGTCTGCTTCCACTTGAGACCTAACACACATGCAGAAATCCCTTCCTCATGAGGGCAGAGCCAGCTTGAGTGGTTTTTATGTTAACACCCGACCCATAACACTCAGATGCTGAGTGCTCAAGGGAAGGCTGGCAGGTAGGCCAAGCAAACACAAGGTCCCTGCTATGTCCACCCCACACAGCTCTGCCCCAGGCCACTTCCTGCCTCTGTTATTTCCAGGTTTTCTAAAACTAATTGTGCCAGAGATAGAACTTTGCTGTAGGCATCTTTGAAAAACTGATTCCAGGCTGGGTGTGGTGGCTCACACCTATAATCCCAGCACTCTGGGAGGCCAAGGTGGGTGGATTGCTTGAGCTCATGAGTTTGAGACCAGCCTGAGAAAGTAAGGCCCCCGTCTCTACTACAAAACAGAAAAAACTGAGGCAAGATGGCTTGAACCCAAGAGTTGGAGGTTGCTGGGAGCTATGACACTACTCTACCCATGCCAACAGCTTGAGACTGTCTCAAAAAAAAAAAGAAAAAACTGATTCCACAGAAATGTTAATAAGATTAAACAAAAATTCCTAAAACATGGTATAAAAACTGCCCATCAGGGCTGAGGTGAATACATGACGTCCTTGTCAGGACACAGGCAGGGCTGAGGCACAGCCCACCACACCAGCTCACCAGCTCAGTGGTGGACTGGGGAACAGATGGCTCCATGTTGCCAGATAGCCAGAGTCAGGAAGGGCTGTAGGCAGCAAAATCTGAGGGAGGGCACAAAGCTGAGTACCCAGTTCCTTCATACTATACTCTTGCCAAGCCTGTGTTTCCTGCCACATCTTAAGGCCTGAGTGTTTACTAGGAAAAATAAAAAAGTCTAGAGTTTGAAGATCCCAAGTGCTTCAACATGGTTAACAGAAGTACCAATTTGTATCATCATTGAATAAGATGGTGCCAACATACAAAAGGGTGTAATAGCCTCGTGAGAGGAGCTCAACTTGAGATATGCAAACACTGGCAAAGATTATCCAGACAATAAAAATTCAGTGTCTGAAATTACAGGATGGATAGGAAACATCACCCAGAGTGAGGAGCGTCTGGACAGTCTGAGATTCACAGACTTCATTTCTGAGGTTCACTGAGATCTGCATTTCAGCAGCTCTATGCCTGTGACGAAAGCTATAATCTTGCTGTTGGCACAAGAGGTTCACGTTTTAGGGAGACCAGAAGGAAGCTGGACTTTCTTGTGTGCAGTGACTGTAGTGTTTTAGATAAAGACCACACAAGAAAGGGGACACTGTCTTTAATAAAGTAGAATGTAAAAATCACTTAGTAAAATGCTGGAGTGTTTTTTTTTTTTTTTTATCACATCAAAAAAGTTGCCATGCAGCTAGGTTCTATTTCCCTGTAGAAAGTGAAAGCTGAGTGTTAAAACCAACAAAGCCAGTCTGCTCAGCCAGTTTTGCTGTTTCCTTAAAGGGGCCACTGCATGATGACAAATTTAAATTAATCAAAACAAACTTTACATATCAAAGAAATGTGTCAAAATAATCTCAAACAATTAAAATATATATTTATAATTCCAGGCCCTCAAAAGCAATCACGGTAGTTAAGAACAAAGTTTTGAGTCATTAAGATAGAGGCCAACTCTGAACATCTCCAGTGAGATGAAATTAGGAAACTGACATTAGAACTTAAGAGTTACTTAGAAACCACCTCTAAAATGCTAAGTCCTTCCAAACACGCAGGAATCAGGCTGGCATCATCCCTCTGGTCCAGTGGAGTGGCTGTAGTGCTCCTCCTTGGTGGGCCTCCTGTCCACCCACCTGGCACCACAGTGGGGACGGCCACCTGCCCCCTGTGCTCCAGCAAGCTGCCACCCGCCTGGCCTCCCACGCCTGCGGCTGGTCTACTAGAATTCCATCGATAGAAATAGCATCACCAAAAAGGAATCAATGCGATTTGGTTTAAATGCCAGTTTCTTCAAGAACCTGATATTTCAGTTACAAATAATTGAAGCTCCTTTTTAAAAAGAAAATCCGACGCCCTCGTAATCAACTACTTTATGTGAAGAAAAAAGGCATTGTTACAATGGCTCAAAACCGTTCTTCCAATGTGTGACAGGTTCAGTCCAGCTCTAACTAGCAAAGGCCTTGCCCACGTCCTCCTTCCCTCTGTACTTCCTCTTCCCGTGTGTGAACGGTATGTACCGGTACTTAATCATGTGCTGGGGAAACAAACACACACAGACTGCAGTCACTTCAAAAAGCTTCCTCATCAATCACCTTTCCCCCACATCTCCAACGTATCAGACAAATGAAATCAGGACTCCCACGTGTGCTTCCATCCCGCCCTCTCTACACAGCAAATCTCCCACTGCCCACTGATCTGGCCTGAGGGCCACTGAGACCCTGCTGCTTTGGACTGACTGATCCCCAGCCCATGGAGGAAGAGCCGAGGGGTGTCAGGCAGCCCAGGGCCCTGTGTGATGACACCCCCAGGGCGTGAGGTGGAGGCTGTAGTCTGGTGAATTTGGCACAGCACCACCTCCCAGGCAGGGCCCTGTGCCCCAACTGTCCAGCACAAAGGGACTTTCCTACGTGTTCACAGCAACAACTGGACTTACACATTGGCGTCCACTGACTGGGGGAACACAGAACACTGCAGCATCACCCACAACAGCCCTACGTCCACGCTATGCAGGCTGCCACCACCCACAAGGCTGGTGTGTACACAGCCACCCAGTGTTGCTTAGGGGCCCGGCAGGGGTGCACATGGTGCCCCAGCTGTTACCTTTATCTGCCTCTTCATTGTGATACAGAAGAGCATGATGAAGTACATCACAAGAATTGGCCAGAACACCGGGACATTGAACGCATCAAAGAAGGTGCAGATCATAGCCACCAGGATGCCCTTGGTAGCCGCATGCCTGCAAGTGAGGAGAGAAGGTTAGCGCCACCATCCACAGCCAGCACCAGCACCTGCCAGCCACCTCAGGCCTCCCTTCCCCCACAACTGGAGAGTCTGTGGGGACAGGGGTGTGTAGTTGATAAATGTGCCGTGTTTAGGCACAGACACATCCTCCTTTAGTCGCTTGAAAACTAAGAAAATAGCAGACCTGCCAACAGGAGGCTGAGCCCAGGACCTGTGTCTCCCATCTGAAAAGCTGAAGCAGGCCAAATACGGCCAGCCATTGCTCTCTCCCAGTTAGCACGCAGTCCCCAGCACACTCATTCTTACAAAGCCAAGCCCACGCTCCCCCAACCCACTGCCTGCTCCAATATCTCACACTCAGCCCAGGGATTGGCTAAGGCCTGCCCATCCCCACATGCACTAGGGCTCAGCCTGTTTGTTCAATGTCCTCATCCTACAAAGATTCTGGCTCCTCCTGTGTCCCTTGCATGGGGACACAAGACAGAACAAACAGATGTGGTCACAGAAAATTTCTGTCCCTCCGACAGAATTGCACCATGTGCACCCAGCCCACACACCATCATCTCACTGCCAGGGCTCTAGAGAAGCTACTCCTTGTAGCAGGCCCAGCCCTGCACCTGAATGGACAATGGCACTTCTGCTCAGGACCCTCTTAAGAGCTAGTGAGGGAAAAAGCCAGTCACCTCTGCTGGCCATGGAAGGCCACAAGGTCCAGAAAGGACAGCAGCTGGCAGGACAGGCCTGAGTCTTGCAAGCACCAGTACCCTGTGTCTCAGAACCAGCTGCTTTCCTGCAGCCTCCAGAGCACAGGTGCTAACTTAAAAACAGGAGAAAGGAAAAGGCAGGGAGTATCTCCTCAGGGAGGCCCATGACTCACCCACCCCGCGCCAAGGCCAGCAGGCACATTTGGGTGATTGATTGTCACAAAGCACAACACAACCCTCATTTCTTTAAGAAGCTGAAATGTCCCATTAGAACAAAATCCAGTGTATTCTAACAGTCTTAATAGCTATACTCAAATACCTTTAAGAATTAGCTCACCAAAATTTAAACTCTGGAAGCCTTCGAATAAAGGGGCGAAATTCCTCGTTCTGTTTGGTTGGTAATGATGGACCATCATCTGAAAAGGAGAATGACAATGAGAGGGAATATGTCTTTTATCTTATTTCTATCACATTTTTCCTATTCCCTAAGAGCTTTTGAACCAATAACCCTTATGTATGGAAATACAGATTTATAACATTTAACCAAAGATAACATGGGGGTCTACAATGACTTATAAATCAATTCATTCCAAGATTCTACTACAGTTAAAAAAAAAAAAAGGTCCACACATACTGAGTCTGTAGCAAGTGCTTGGCTGCAGATTGTGTGGGGACATGCCACCAGTGCCACACAAAGACTCACAAAGAGCAGGACAGGTTCATGTTCTCAACAAAAAGCGCGGAGGGCAGCAAGGCTGTGTGTGCCTACTGGAGACGTGGGCCATGGCTCTCAGCCTCTGCCCACTGCCAGCTGCTACCCCCAGGCCTGCTCTTGTCTACCCCACCCCTTATAGATGGAGCAACCAAGGCCTGCACCTGGGTCTGTGTGACTTTCTAGTCTCCCCTAATAGCAACATGGAATGAAAAGGGCAGTGACTCCTTTAACATTTCTAGTAAACATTCCACACAGAGAAGCCACAGGCCTCTGGTGGCTTGTGCTACAATTTGAAACAGCCATACCCAGAAAGGGTGTTTCTCCCATAACAAAGAGGGCTGCCAGGTAGGGAGCTGCATCTGGATCTTTCCAGCAGTGGCAACAGATGTGCCTGGACTGCCCCCTCCCCCCCCCCACCGCCCCGGCAGGGCTGGCCAGGCAGGTATGCACTTGGCCCACCTGGCAGGGTCTGGCTTGGAAGCAGGCTGAGCCTCATGGGGGTGACACACACCCGCCAAGAACATTCCAGTTCATCATGCTCAGGAATCAGAGACCACCCAGCCTGGCTGGCCAGCAGAAGTTAGGGACCCAGTGGTCTAAGTCACAGTGAGATGCCTATGGAAACCTGGTTATGTGAGAGAGACTCCTAACTGGAGCATCCCAGGTGACTCCAAGTCAGGCTGTCCATTCAGGACAACACAAACCGTAAGGGCAGGCTCTGGAGTTAGACTGTCTAGGCTCAGGTTCCTGCTGCTGTGCACTCTGCCACGTGGCCTTGGACAAGCTACACAACCCTCTAGTGCCTCAGTTTCCCCATTTGCAAAATGGGGGCAGCAGACTGAATGCCACTTTGTGCCTGTTAAAAGGGTGTCAGTTGTCCTTCTATAAACAGTTGTGTCTCAGCCACTCCTGTTAGGAGTATGCTGAAACGTGTTTTCAGAGAACAAGGAGTAGTCCGTGCACATGGCACAGCTGGCAGACTCGACTCTACCTGAGTCTTCCATTAGGGAAGGATCCACTTTGGGAGAAAGAAAAGCTATGAAAAGATTTAGATGGTAGATTCCCAAGGCGTAGGTCACAATGTACCAACCCTAGAAGAGAAGGAGACACAGAGTTAGTGACAAGCTTTAACCACTGCCAACTTGAACCAACTCAACACTCCCATTAACTCTCGACTTTAATTCATCTTAAAAGCAACCATGACTTACTCATAGCAAGAAGACTGTAACCAGAGTGATAAGAACTATAGTAACTTCCACAGTGACAGCTTGCCTTAAATTACGTTCTGGGTGTGACACTGAAGTGGACAGCCCAGAGCCAGAAGAGCAAGCTGTCTTTGTGGGTCCAGTTACATGCATGTAATACCTGAAGCCACAAGCTCCCAACCAGAGCAAAATAGAAAAGGAGGCTTTTCTCAAAACACACAGGCCCGAGCATCTGTTTATGCCATTAGAAATAAGAACTTCATTATCGATATTAAAAGCCTAAACTTTGCTATACAAACAAGATGAAACCTTTTGCCTAAAATATTTTCAAGTCAGACAAACTAAAAACTAGAAATGAAAGATCAACGTTTATATATTTTTCACATGGTAAGGCCAAGCCTAAGGGGATACCAAATTAGGCATAAATTTAGTTTAGAACATAGTAAAACCACCACATGTGTGTTGTAATCCCCCCTCTCTTGCCTGAATCCCTAATTCAAGGTTTCTAGGTCATTCTTTCCATTAAAGAGGAATTCCAATTAAAAAAAAACAAAAACCTAAGATCAATTGCATTCACAGCAAATTCAGTGTTAGTTTTAAATATCCTTACAAGTCCTGTGACAGTAAATTAGAGAAGGCCCCACATCCCTCACACCACATCAGTACTGGGGTTACTCACAGGAAGAAATCCATAAATAACAAGGAACAGTGTCTACATTTAAATGAGAATTTCATGTAGTACAGGACACACTGTCAAGTCCAATAAATAAACAAACATGCCACTCCCTGGACCACTGGTCCTGTGTTTTGGAAGACATTAGGAAGGGAGGTGCTTTAAATGAGGAGACATCTTTCACAGCCCCAGGGGAGAAAATTCTCTGAGCAAGCCTTTTAACCTGCCCTCCACTGGACATATAAAACATTAAGTCACCTCCTCTGAACAGCCATAAAGACTTCCCATCTCGTTGGTTAACTGCCAGGAACCATGTGTTCACTAGAGAGTAAACAATGTCCAAAAGTGATGTCTGAAGACGCTGCCAGAGCTGGGGTCTGTGCAGATACCTGGGATCCCCGGGAACTGCTCCCCCCACCCCCGACTCAGTGTTTCAGCCTGTGCCTCCTTGTCAAGCTCGTGAAGGGCATAACTCAAATAAGCTAAATAAACTCTTTTGGACATCAAAAATCACTCATGACACCAAAGTCTGAAGCTCTTCACTGAATGAAGGAGGTAACTGCAACAGCTTCACCTCATCCCCAGGCAGGTCAGAGGTACCAGAGGAGCCTGATGGGGGTCAAGACAGTCCTGGACACAGTAGGAACCCAGCTAGAGAATGTGACAGACTCTGTAAACAACTGTAAACTGTAAACAATCCTCCTTTAAAAGGCACTGGATTTTTCTTATATTTGGTGCTTAACTAATAAACAATTATTAGAGCCTACTTCCTTCACAATAAATTGGATCAACCACATCTCAATCCACACCACATGCAGAGAATGCAAATTGAGCCAAGCCCATCACTTCTGTCCAAACATACCTGCAACAGGTAAACTCTGATCATGTAGACAAAGCTCAGGCCCAGGGTCACCACCCATCGCACGGCTGTGTATGGTGTAGACTTGTCTAGCCAGGACTGATAAATCTAGAAAGATAAGAGTTCAGAAGCATGAAGAGGGTCCTGCACCAGCTGCAACCACAAAGTGTGCTTTGTGCCATAGTCGCCTTTCAATTTTAAAGAGCAATTAAAATAGCAAGAGGCTGGGGACTATGGCTCAGGCTGTGGGCCCAACACATTAGGAGACTGACATAGAAGGATCGCTTAACCCCAGGACATCGAAGCTATAGGGACTGCCATGAGCTGTGATCACTCCACTGCACCAGGTGACAGAGCAAATCCGTGTCAAGAGTGAAGAAGATAGGAGAGAAGGGGAAGAGAGGAGGGAAGAAGAGGAGAGGAGGGGAGAAGGGGAGAAGAGGGAAGGAGGCGGGAGAATGGAAGAAAGGGAGGGAGAGAAGTGGGGGAGGGAGGAGGAGGATGGGGAAGGAGAGTGGAAGGAGGGGAGGAAAGGAGGGGAGGGGAGGGCAGAGGAGGGGAGGGGAGGGGAGGGGAAGGAGGTGAGAATAACAAGACATTGTAGATCCTATGTGTACTGGCACAAAAGGATGACTACAATTAATCCAAAAATTATTCGAATAATTCCTAAAGCAGATTCATCTTTTTTTTTTTAAGAGGCAGAGTCTCACCCTCAGTACAGTGCTGTGGCATCACAGCTCACAGCAACCTCCAGCTCCTGGGCTTAGATGATTCTCCTGCCTCAGCATCCGAAGTAGCTGGGACTACAGGCGCCTGCCACAACACCCCGCTATTTTTGTTGTTGTTGTTATTGTTGCAGTTTGGCCAGGGCCGGGTTTGAACCTACCACCCTTGGTATATGGGGCCAGTGCCCTACTCACTGAGCCACAGGCACCACCCAAGCAGGTTCATCTTTTAAGCAAAAATACCACAAAACAATCTCTCATTGGAGTGCCTGTGATGGCCCAAAGGGATCATCATAGGGAGGAGACCTAACCTCACCACAAAGAGAGGAGTGCTCATCTCAACGCCCCCTTACAGCATAACACGCCTGGCCCCATGGGCCTGCAACTTATACATGTCTACACTAGGGCAGCTGTGGAGCTCACTAAAGAATCCTGAACTGTATATATAGTTTTTTAATGTGTACATACATATGCTTTTAATTTTAAGTTTTAATTTTAAAAAAAAATTTTTTTTTGAGACATAGACTCACTGTGTCGCCCTGGATAGAGTCCATGGCATCACAGCTCACAGCAACCTCAAACTCTTGGGCTTAAGCGATTCTCTTGCCTCAGCCTCCCAAGTAGCTGGGACTACAGGCACTCACCACAATGCCTGGCTATTTTTTTTTCTATTGTTGTCATTGTTTAGCTAGCCATTGAACCCGCCAGCCCTGGTGCATGTGACTAGTGCCCTAACACTGAGCTACAGCGGCTGAGGCCCTGCTATTTTTAGAGACAGGGTCTTACTCTGACTCAGGCTGGTCTCAAACCCATGAGCTCAGACAATCCACCAGCCCCGGTTTCCCAGGGTACTAGGATTACAGGCATGAGCCACCATGCCCAGCTCCTAAACATTCACAGAATATATGAGCCTAAATATACTCATTGCTCAACTTTAATAATCATCAATAGTTTTCCATATGCTATTTTCTAATTAAAAAATCCATAAATTTTTAACCATGCTGAAACATCAGGCCCTGCAGTTGTTCACCGAGTCACACTTCTTCCAAAACGCAGCTCAGCACACAGTGTTTGAACATAGTCCAGGCCCCATTATTCTGCCACAGCCTACAGGTCTGGTGACCCACACCACCCACCAATATCAAAGGCTCACACCCAGGGAGCCTCGTCCAGCAGCCGTCTGCAGGTGGGACAGGTGAAGTCTCCCAGCACATGTGTACTCGAGTGTCCACGAAGAGGACAGCAAGTCCAGGGCAGCAGCCGCTGCTGTGTCTGTACCACCAGGAGCCTCCAAAACCTAAACTCTTCTTGACAGGAAGCACCCTGTGCTCAGGCAAGAGGCATCTTCCCAGAGCGCAGCCTACGGTAAGTGGAGATGTTGCTCAGCCTCTGCCAGGAGCATCAGCAAATACACCCTTCGGGCAAATGTGTCAGGAGTCAACAATTTCTTTTTCAAATATTTACACTCATCTTCTACAAACAAAATCCACCAACCTGTCCAAGCCTTGTGAAAAATCTGTATACCACTGAGGGTTTTCCATGGACGGAATCTCCAACACTGTCCCCTTCGGACATTCTGTAACTATGAAAAAAACACAAAGTATTTTTAAATAAAAGCATTCAAGGATGTAAAATCTTAATCCTATTTTCACTAATACTGCCAAGTAGGTTTTCAATATTCATTATTTCATCCACACTATTTGTGTGTTTTTACCATGAATTCAAGAAAAAGACACACCCAAGCACACAGGCCTTGGCAGAGGGAAGGGACAGCATGAGGTGACCACACCAGGCAGCACCTGATGACCCATCCTTCCCACTGCCAGTACCTCACTCCCACATGGGTGGCAGTACCCACCCCACCAGCCATAGGAGCTGCCCTTGCTGCCACCTGGTCCCGTGGCGGGCCCAGCACAGTGCTACATACCCTCCCTCCAGGTACCCTGTCCTCTGTGGATCCCTTGGGGACCCCCAAGCACCCTCTTCTCTGAGCCCTGTCCTGGGTCTCTGGTCTGGCAGGAACAGCAAGGGGCCACAAACAGGAACGTGTCATCTATAACTCTCCAGAGTCCATCTATCTGTGTCCCAGTTTCTTATCTGACAACTGGAGGTAATCATATGTGCTCCTATTTCAACATCCTGTTGTGAACCCACAAGGAATTCACCTGAGAACCCAGGTACCAGAGGTCCCATACATTAGCCCACTTAATTCCCGCTAACCAAGTGATGGGACATAATTACCCTTTTTCACAAAGGAGGAACTATTCCCCAAAAGTCAAAGCCACGTTATCTACGGGCAGCTCTGCTCCTGGGCACACCCAGAGCCTGGCCTGACATCAGCTCCTCACCCGAGCACTCTGCCACCCTATCCTGACACGAGATGGATTCAGAGGACTGGCCATTCTTCAGGAAAGCAACACTGAGGAACCAAGGCTTCCTAGCTATCACTCCTACTCTGAATATAAGATACTTGAGGGCCCTAAGCTAGGGAAAATGACAGGGGCAAAGCTCACCATCACCTGCAATGCAAGTGGCACCTTCCCAAACTGCATCTGCTCCCACGGCAAGTAAAGAGAATCAACACTCCAGTTTTAAGTTTGGTTTAAGTCTCACCTGTGCTGAGTGGCTGTGAGATCTTCACCAAACCCTCTGACCACACAGCCAGCCTCAGTTTCCTCATCTATAAAACGAGGCTCTATTAAACACCAGACACAAAGGCACAAACATCATTCTACGATAACCCCTAAGGTTGTTTACTGATGAGAAAACTGAGGCTCACAAAGGCTAACCTAGCTGATCAGACAGTTTGCAGTGGGGGCTGGAATGGAAACCCTCACCTGCCAGAGACTAACCTCCTAATCACATCCTTACTGTGGGCACTGAGAAAGTCCTTCTTCTGAAACAGAAGTCAGCAGGCTACATGCTATGATCCTGGATCTCAAGAAGATAAGCTTCCCAATTACAATCTAAGTATTAAAGTCACTGGCCAAGTGGGGTGGCTCACACCTGTAACTACAGGGCTTTGGGAGGCCAAGGTGGAAGGACCACTTGAACCCAGGAGTCCCTGACCAGCCTGGGTAACACAACAGGAACCCATCTCTACAAAAATGTTTACAATTAGCCAGGCAGGGTAGAACCTGTATTCCCAGCTACCTGAGAGGCTGAAGCAATACTGCCTGGGACCAGGAGTTGGAGCTTGCAGTGAGCTATGATGATGCCACGGTACTCTAGCTGAGAGACAGACTCTTTCTCCAAAAAAGTAAAAATAAAACAAAAATAGTTATCTGATGTTTACTGGGCCACATCAAGTCCACAGTGCGAGTATGAATGTGATTCCATGACACCATCTCCTGGATCTGTTAAGGTGTCGGCAGAACCTCTCAAGGAGGAAACAGAGAAATGCGCTTTGGTCTCACGGAGCTGTGGATACCAAAAATGCAAATTTAACTGAGCAGCCAAACTGAAGCCCCCCTGTCCTTCCCATCTACTTTTTTTTTTTTTTTTTGAGACGGAGTCTCACTTATTAAAGTGCCATGGTGTCACAGCTCATAGCAACCTCCAACTCTTTGGGCTTAGGTGATTCTCTTGCCCCAGCCTCCCGAGTAGCTGGGACTACAGGCGCCTGCCATATGTCCAGCTATTTTTGTGTTGCAGTTGGGCCAGGGCCAGGTTTGAACCCGCCACCCTCGGTATATGGGACCAGCATCCTACCCACTGAGCCAAAGGCGCTGCCCATTCCCATCTACTTTTGAGGAGATGCAACCAAACATCTGACTGGGGAGAATTCTGTATATAAGTAGAACTCATTACCTTGAATAGCCAGCCTACTTAGGCCAAAGCCAGACCAGCAGAAGGCTACCTCAGTCATGTTCTTCCCTCATGCATTCTGACCAGTGTTCACTTTAACTTGAATTGAGGTGATAAGTCATATTAGGGAAAAAAAACACCTGGCTATCCCTAGAAAAGTATGTTCCCTAAGCAGAGCTAATTGCTTAGAATTTCTCACTCTTCCACTGAATGTACAGAAAACCTACAAAAATGCATTTGTCTAAAAAAAAAAAAGATGCATTTGTCCATTCTCATTATCTGATAAGCATTAACATATACATTAAAATATGGCTATCCATCTTGATTCAACTCTGCCAACAATAACAGGGGAGACATTGCATGATTCAGAATGTGAACTTTGGACGCAAACTGCCTGCTTCTAAACTCAGGTCTGTCACTTTCTAGCTGCACAACCTGGACAAGCTATGTAAAAATACCTCATGTTCTGATCTCTGAAATGGGACAACGTCACTGTTACTCACTTTCTCCTCCAAAGGGTTCTCCTAAGGAGTCAATGGCCAGCCCTCTGTAAGCCCTCAGTGCCTAGGACAGAGGGAGTGTGCCAGCCCCAGTCCCAGCCCCTTAAACACATCAGACACATTCCCAGAGAGAGGGCAAGCCCTCATACCAGCTGCTTTTTCTGCAATCACCTTCGCTCTGAGGCTTAGTTTAAAGGCCAACCTCTCCATTACTGCCCAAACTGACCAGCAGTCCATTATGTCATATCACCCTGTTTTTATTTGTATAACAGATACCTTTCTGGTTTACTCTCAATTTCCCCCTACCAGAATGCAAGCTCCTTGAGGGGAGCCTTACCACCTGAAAGTGCCTTTTACACAGCATGCAGCCAGCCAATTTTCTGTTGAGTATAATCACTTTATGCCCAGTCACAAAGAAAATAAAATAAAGAGCAAGATAAAAGCACTCTAAACAGAGACCGTGCCAGAAACTGCACACGACTCCACATGGGCCTTGTTCTAGAGCCCGGTGCATACATCGGTTTCTGTGGTCCTCACTTCTAACACAGGAAGTGTTGCCCGGAAAGGGTAAAGTCCTCAGCCAGGCTTGTAGGGCCATCAACAGTGTGGCTCCTGCTACCTTTCCCTCCACCTCCACCACTAATTCCTCCTGGGCCAGGAAAGCCCCTGAGCCTTGTGCATCAGGCCCCAGGCTTCTGGTGCTGTTCTCTCCCCTGAAATGCCCTTCTAGACCCTATCTTGTCCTTCTTGCCAAGGCCACATTCCAACCTGGGCTCCTCCTCTGGGCCTGACCATCTTAGGTCTCCACCTGACCCTTACGCCATACCTTGACTGAGGTCGCCTCCGGCACACATCAGGAACCGGGTGACCATCTGAGTCTGTTACTGAGAACCTTCTATTCACTTATGGAGAGAATTCCATCTTACCATGAAGTGACACGCCAACCCAACTAAGAATAAAGCACTTCCAGGACTAATAGCCAGTCTCTAAAGAGAAAAGGAAGAAAAACACAATGAAAGCTCTCAGGCTGAACGCAGCCCTGTGGGCTGTAAGATAGCTGGCAAGGAAGCAAATGTAACTTCACCAGCAGAACCACTGACCAGTACAAGCATCAACCAGGAGAGCTTATGTTTGTATTGCCTGTATTTAGAATACTACCAAAATATAAAGTTGAGGAATTTAACTAGCTCCCCTTCACCCCGTTCAGTATCTTCATTCAAAGGCTTAATGCTAAATCCTACAGAAAAGCCCTAATAAGGAGCACAGAGATGGGAAGGCAAGAGAGCATCCCCGGGCAAACCCATCCCGACTCTCTCAGAGCTGTGGGGACGGCAAGTGACCACTTTTCCCAGATGCCCTGCAGGGCGGCAGGGGCACAGAAGAGGGTAAGAAGTGGCCAGGGAGAGCAGGACCGCAGCCCTCTCACGGTCCCTGCCCGGTCCCGGGGCCCAGCCTGTACTCTCGAGGCCCCTGTCCCGGCTCCTCGAGGGCCGCCTACCTGGTCCTGGTGTTCTGCCGGCGGCCCCGGGCCCTGCCCTCGGCTCGGCCCCGCCCGCCCGCGGCCTTGACAGCCCGGAAAGAGGCGGAGGCGGCGCCTCCCGGCCGTTCCCGCGCCACGCAATCCGCACCGCCCCCGCCCCTCGTACCTTGCAGCGCCGCTGCGGCCGAACCGCGGTCTCCCTCACGGCCGCAGGAAGGAAGACGGCGGGCAGGGGCAGCCGCCGGCGCTTCACTCCGTCTCCGGGAAGCTGCAGCGGGAACTTCCGCTCCGTCCTCCGCGGCACCGCCTCCAGGGCCTCCAAGATGGCCGCGGGGGCGGGGCTAGAGCTCCAACCATTTCCGCTTCCGGTGCGGGGCCCGAGGCCGTTGGCGGGGCGGTCTTCTAGGCGGAAGGGACCCAAGCAGCGGAAACGCGCGGCTTTGCACAGGCGCAACTGCGCCCTCTGGCTCCGGGCCCAGGTAACTCTGCTCCAGATATTGTGATGGTCCAGGGGCTGGCCCCCGAGGCCATGCCCCCTCGCGGCCAAAGACCAATGGGAGAGGGATTTGCTTGTTGCTACGGGAACCCTCTAGCGTCAAGATGGCGGCAGCGGGGGAGGAGGCCCCCAGCTCTCCGAGGCCGGGTCTGGACCTGCCGAGGCGGCCGCCGCGGGACGGTAACGATTCCGGCCCGGCGTGGGCCAGGGGACAGGTCGCCGCTGCCCGTGGCTCCGTTCAGGGCTCTGTCGCTATACGTCCTCGACCCCCAAATGTTCTCTCGGGAAGTGGGATTTCCGTAGCCCGCGGTGGAGGCAGGACCGGTGCCCGTGCCGCCCTCCGGCCGGGCTCGCCTTGCAGCCCCGCGCCCCTCCTCCGCCGCAGGGGTGCGAGGGCCACAGGCCCCACCAGCGGGACCTGGACACCGAGGGCTCCCTCGTGCCCTGTGGTCGCGACGAGGAGGCGGGAGTCGGGAGCCCGGGCTTAGGGCGGGCACGGGACTCGCACCATGGTCGGTGACCTCTGGGAATGCTAAGACGCGCATTTCACGAGAAGTTTTTAGTAGGAATGATTAAAACCAAAGAAACAGCCGGGCGCGGTGCTCACACCTGTAGTCCGAGCACTGTGCAAGGCTGAGGCGGGAGGATCTCTTGAGCTCACTCTTGTCTGAGCAAAAGTGAGATCCCCGACTCCACAAAAAAATAAAAACCCCAGCCGAGCGCCGTGGCATGCGCCTGTAATCCCAGCGACTCGGGAGGCTGAGGCAGCAGGTTGCGGTGGGCTATAATGATGCCACTGCACTCTGGTCAGGACATAGGGTGAGACTCTGTCTCGGTAACAACAGTGAGAACCAAAGAAACAGGTCTGAAACGAACTCAGTTCACCCCCAGTATCTTCAGGTGGAACCTGAAGGATTTATAGCAGATTCAGGAGACTGTGGTGACCCCCTGCCTTCTTCCCATAACTCCTGCCCCAAGCTGTGTCTTAAAAGCCAGGGAGGGCGGTGCCTGTGGCTCAGTGTACCCACTGATGGCTCTGGCCCCATATACCGAGAGTGGCAGGTTCGAACCTGGCCCCAGCCAAACTGCAACAAAAAATAGCTGGGCCTAGTGACAGGTGCCTGTAGTCCCAGCCACTGGGGTGGCTGAGGCAAGAGAATTGCCTAACCCTGGGGGTTGGAGGTTGCTGTGAGCTGTATGATGCCACGGCACTCTACTGAGGGCGGTAAAATGAGACACAGCCAAAAAAAAAAAAGAAGAAGAAAGAAAGTAAGGGAGCTGGTGGAAAAGAAGGCCCTGCCCTCCAGGAGCCACTGGAGTTGGGAATTGGGAGATGATGTACCCTGCAGCTGAGGGGGAAGAGATGAAGCTGGCCAGGCCCTCCTTGGGTATAGATGTGGATTTTTTTTGCCCTGGAGATAGGACACAACTGAAGGATCTCAGCACAGGGATGGGAGAGTCCAGATCCTTTCCCCTTCTGTACGCTCACTATTGCTGTTCTTCTGCCCTTACCTGGCTAACTGGGTTCATGGTACATCTTTCCTGGCTCAGTGCCAAGTTTCCCTTTTCAGGAGAGCTCCTGCCCCCACTGCCACCTCCCAGACATCATTGTTCTCTCCAGGACCTGCATTCCTTTCAAACTAGCCTTCCTCTTACTGGCCTGTCCTCTTGCACCAACAGTGCTCAGCCATGTCACATACATAAAGGAACCTGTGGGTGGACCAGCAGTGAGCAGGAAAATCCATGAACCCATGCTGAGCCATTGGGCAGCTGTGTGGGGGACTTTACTGAAGACAGACACCTTGAAAGGGCCCCAATAGAGCTGCACACCCACCCTCAAAGCTAGAGACAGCCCCCATCTCTAAATATCTGTTAAATGTCAATGCCGTCACTGTGTCCAATGCCCGCTGTGTGCATCTTTTCAACATCCAGGTTATGGTGTCTACGTGTACCCAAATTCTTTCTTCCGATATGAAGGAGAGTGGAAAGGAGGGAAGAAACATGGTACGAAGCCTCCGTAGCCTCTTCCTGCCTCAGCTGCCACCTCACAGCTGACAGGGCCAGTTTCCTTGGGAAATCTGGGCAGGGGAAACAGGATTCCTGGGAGACGCCCAGGTGTGCCACCTTCTCATGGGCCTTAGGGCACCTCCAGCAAAGGGAGCTACGACTTGGAAATTCTCCCTGGAGTTTTGGTTAATGGCTTTATGGTTTACTACTGATTATGAGAAATAACCTACTTTTTAGAAAAGCCACGCAATAAAAGAAAGAAAATATAAAGTCAGAATCACATGGAATCTCCCCCCTTCTAGGGGAGTCTGTGAACCTTCTGGGGTCTGAACTTCTCAGCGTCTGCTTCTATTATCTGCCAATTTTTTTTTTTTTGTTGTTGTTGTTGTTTTGAGACAGAGTCTCACTATGTCACCTGGGTAGAGTGCTGTTGTGTCACAGTTCACAGCAACCTCAAACTCTTGGGCTTAGGCAATTCTCTTGCCTCAGCCTCCCAAGTAGCTGGGACTACAGGCTAATTTTTGTTACAGTTGTTATTGTTGTTTAGCTGGCCCTGGCTGGATTCAAACCCGCCAGCCTCAGTGTTTGTGGCTAGCATTGTAACCAGTGTGCTACAGTGCACGCCAAGCCCATCTGCCATTTTTTTATTACAAGGTTGGTCTTTTGGTATTTTTTTATATGAGTTCTTTTTGTGCCTATCAGTATTTTCTATATTTTTAGCCTTTTACTTTTTGTTTAGTGTTTTTGCTACATACTTCTTACTTTTGTGCTGACATCAAGGATACTCTTGTCCCAGGCCAGGAGTGAAGGCTCACATCTGAACTCTGTTGTTAGAGCCCGGCCTGTACAGAGTCCCCTCTTGGGAAATACACACCTCAGTGTCGCACCATGTCTTCCACGCACTCTGTCCTCTGCCTGGTGCTGCCAGAGGCCAGGCGAGGGGGCATCCCCTCTGAGGAGGCTGGGTGCCGGGTCTCGTCTGCCCTCCCCATGCCTGGGCAGTCTGTCTGGCTGAAAGAGCAGGGCACTCAGGAACATGCCAGTGGATGTTAAGGGACATTTTTTTTTTTTTTTGTACAAATACAATCTGGAAGCCGTGCTTTACTTTGAGAAACAAACCCCATGGCACATGGGTGACTGCATGGTACTGTGTCCTCCAGGTCATGGGAAGTTGCTGTGTAAAGATGGGAGTTACTATGAAGGAGAGTTTGTAGAAGGAGAGATCATGGGAGAAGGCTGCCGGCTCTGGGCCTGGTCAGGTGAGCTCTGGAATGGCTGCCTGTTGACCCTTCTCTCAGAAGCAATCTCAGGGGTCAAGTGGTCTCTTGTTTATGGACGTGAGGAGCCTCTGGTTCCCCTACCATGTCTTGTAAAAGTAGCATGCTAGGCTGGGGCAGGGCCACCATGATGCAACCTCTACATGCCTGGGATAGACGTGGGGACCCTGGGTTGAGGTTCTATGCTTACCTGGCAGGAACTCTGACTTCCCCTAACACTTTGTTGGAATAAAAATTTATCAGTCCAAAGTTACAGTGTTTCCTCTTTTCTATGAATATATTTTAGCCACATTGTATCCCTAGACAAGAGAATGCCAGAGCAGAACTCTTCCATAGGCTGCCAAGCGCTGTCCCCGGGAACCTCAGCCCTTCACAGGCGAACAGGTGGTCAGTTCTCAGTGAGAACTTTGCTCTGGGGCTCGGCTTTCAATTGTTTTTCAAAGAGCCTGTGAGAAGGTTTACCCCAGGTCACCTAGAGGGGCCTTTGCCCTGGAGCACAGGGGATGGACCCTATAGATACCCACAGGGTGCCAGCCTCAGCACATTCACAGCTGTAGTGGAAGGACCAGCCCCATCTCATCAAGGTTTGCCCTCATCTTCCAGCCTCAGTACTGATAAACAAAGGCATCCATCCTAAAATGGCCCCTGCAGCCGTCCTTGGTCAGGGGACAGAGGAAGTCATGGCTATTGCTCTGGGGATGTGTGGAACAGCTCTAGCCCTCAATGCCTGTCTCCCTACCTTGCCTTATCCTCACCAGGAAACACCTACACTGGACAGTTTGTTTTGGGAGAACCTCAAGGACGCGGCGTCATGAAGTACAAAGCCGGTGGATATTATGAAGGGGAGGTCTCCCACGGCATGAGGGAAGGTCTGGTATCTGCGACTCGCACCAGTGCTGATTGCAAGCTTGGTGCTAGAGGGGCAGGGCACTTGGGAGGGTGCACCTCTCAAGTTTGGGAACCACAGACCTGGCCATCTGACTTTAGAAGTTGGGAAAGAAGGTAGTGCTTGAGCCTCCTCTCTGCCCTGGGCTGCCTCTGGTGTAGTTCTGAGTGGGGCTTCCCAAGCCGCTGTGTCCAGGGACACAGCCACACCTGTTGTCCACTGCTGTGTTGCAGCCATGTTTAATTATGTGCTCTCCATCCTGGGATACACCAGGGCACATCTCTGTTCTTACACAGGATCGCTCACGACCACACACAGTGGCTCAGCCAGGCCTGGACTGCCCTCCAGGTCCTCAGGGGCCTGGGAAGCCCAGCTCCAGGCACCTTGGTCACTTCCTACACATTCTGTTGGCCAAAGCAAGTTAGGGGCCAGACTCCAGGGAGCTATGTCCTCCTTGTGCACCAAGAGCAGGGCTATCGTGTGCCTTTGCCTCTGTCAAGCCAGGCTCCACACAGGCCCAGGGCTGAAGGGCCACCTGCCCCCAAGAAGCAAGCGTGCGGGTCACCCTCACTGCAGACATGGCCCCTTTCCTCCCTCTAGCATTTCCTTATGTTGAGAGGTGGAAATACCTTCGAATTTCTGAGCTGTTCACAATTGGAAAATGCCACACAATTCACTGGTTGGTTCTTCCTCAGGCCTTGCATGTCCAAGTGCTCTGAGATGGCTGCTCAGGTCGAGTGCTACTCCCCTCACTAGGAGGAGGCGGCTGCTATAGCAGCTGCACAACAGTGTGATCCCGGAAGGCTCAGGCGGCCTTCAGACACCCTTCAGGGGCCCCTTCAGACACCCCAGCCTTTGAGACCTGGGCCAGACCCACTTTTGCTGGCACCTTGAGCTGACTGGCCCTGTGCCACATCTCCTCTGCCATTCCTGTCCTGGCAGTGCTGAATGATACCCAGAACCTCCCCAAAAGGACCATCTGGCTCCTGGGGGGCCTGAGTTGGCACAGGGCAAGAGGGCCAGTTCCCTCTCTGAGTGGGAGGGGCTGGAAGCGGGGTCCCCTCCATGGGAGGCACCAAGTTAAGTTCATCTCTTTTGGTCCCTTTGCCAGGGCTTGGGTTCCTGGTGGATGGGGATGGACAAGTGTACCAGGGGTCATTTCATGACAACAGAAGGCACGGCCGTGGACAGATCCTCTTCAGGTGAGCTCGAGTCTGGAGAGGTTGGCTGGGAGCAAGCTCCTTGACTGCCCTGGCCTGGGGAGTGGGTGAGACTAGCCATGTAGAAGTCCCTGGCCTGGTCCAGCCTCTGTGGGTGATTCCTGTCCTGTTGTCTCAATACTTTCTGTGGTTTTGGTGTTAGTCTGTCATTTTTCCCTTATTTAATGAAATTGATTGTGCATTTAATTAAAAAAAATTAATAGCCAACTGTGTTAAAATAATCTCCTAGGAAGGTGGGGCTGGTGGGAGGGTGGAGCCACAGTGGGGATTAGAGGACCCACAATTCCCCACTGCCCTGGAAAGCATACCTGCTACTAAGGGTGGGGGCATCTACTTGCCTGGACCCCCGTTGGTCCCAGTGAGGTAAGAGCTCTGGGGGCCACCTGGGCTCAGGGCCTATTTTGCTGTGTTTCCCCATGGAGTATGCTGAGTGGGTCAGAGGGGCTGGTCTGAGTCACCTCCGCCACCTGCTCCCCACTGAGTGTCCCTGTGCTCATCCCCCAGGAATGGCGACAAGTACGATGGTGACTGGGTCCGGGACCAGCGTCAGGGACACGGGGTACTGTGCTGCGCAGATGGCTCCACCTATGAGGTACCCAGGGAGCAGGCATGAGGCCTGGTGCTGGGCTTCTCGGGCATGTAGCAGTCCTCACATGCTGGTCCCTCCACTTCAGGGGGCCAAGTGTAGGCAGACCTGCTCCTTCCTGCATAGCCTGGGACAGGCCCCTGCACCAAAAGGCAGACGAGCAAGGAGAGGGAGAAGGACAAGCTGTTCACTCCTGCACCTCATGAGTCCATGGGAGGCACCACGAAGTGGCAGCCTCACTCTCCAGTGTAGATACATCTTCACCTGAAACAAAGAAGGAAGGGGATTGGGGCAGCAGCAGGCAGGGGCAGAGCATGGCACATAGACCAAAGTCGGGCCTCTCTGCTGTTAAGTCTGTAGGGGCCCGTTAAGTCTGTAGCTGTTCAGAGTCACACTTCTCTCCTGGTGCAGAGGGGACAGCCTCACAAGCAGGCTTCTGTGATGGGCATCAGTTTGCTGCAAGAGAGAAACTTCTGCTTCCTGTGTCTGCAGTTTCTCAAAATAATCAGCTCAAAATAGTCCTTATGCCACAGAAACATGTCCTAGAGCAACTCAGTCTGGCTTCCTGCAGACCCCGGAAGCCGTTACTATGACCTTGTTCATGTCACTGACGAGAAAACTGAGGTTCAGAGAGAACAGCTGAGCTTCTGGGCCACCAGCCTTTGTATCCAGTTGATCTGAGTTCTGGAGCCGTCTCCTCGTGGAAGTGAGTCACTCCTCTGAGGATAAGATGGGCTTGGGGCTGGCAGCCCCTGTCCTAGGAGGTTAACAGGATTCTAGCTGGAGGAGATCAAGGTACAGCGCAAGGCCTTTGCAGGCCCTGAAGGCCATGGGTGCTCAGCAGGGCAGAGTGGCAAGAGTCAGCCTGTCCCACCCGAGCACCAACAGCAGCTGGTGTACGAGTGACATATGGTGGTTTCCGTGGTCCCATGAAGACACAGGGCACTTAGAGTGGCAAGAGTCAGCCTGTCCCACCCGAGCACCAACAGCAGCCGGTGTGCAAGTAACATAGTAACATGCGGTGGTTCCCATGGTCCCATGAAGATACAGGATGCTTAGAGTGGACAGGTTGGGGGTGGATGGAGAATGCCTCTCAGAAGTGTCAGCCCCTGAACTGAGGCCAGGACGTGGAGGAGGAGCACGCGAGGGCCCTCAGGTAGAACAAGCATAGGTAGAGGGAACAGCCCAGCACAGCTGGGGAAGAACTGGGTAGAGCCACACACAGAGGCCTGGATCCTCAGAAGGCAGTAGGTCAGTCGAGGTCTCACACAGTATTAGAAAGATGGGCATATTGACCCCTGAGCTCCCTCTGGTTCTTAGCCGGAGAGTGACAGGAAAGACAGTGCCACACTCATCCAAGGAAAGGTGAGGATGGCCTGCATGAGGTGCAGAATGGCGTCAAGATGGCTGGGCATGGCTCAGTGCCCATAGCTCAGCAGTTAGGGCGCCAGCCACATACCCTGGGGGCTGGCAGGTTTGAACCTGGCTCAGGCCTGCTAAACAATGACAACTACAGCAAAAAAATAGCTGGGCATTGTGGTGGGCCCCTATAGTCCCAGCTGCTTGGGAGGCTGAGGTAGGAGAATTGCTTAAGCCCAATAGTTTGAGGTTGCTGTGAGCTATGACACCACAGCACTATACCAAGGGCAACATAGTGAGCCTCTGTCTCAAAACAAACAAACAAAAAAGATTGGCTGGGTGAAGATGCTGGGCTTTCTGGCTGGTCAGATGTCAGACACAGGTGAGAGAAGAGTCCAGGATGGCCAGCACCTGGGCTTTGGCTGGATCACTGGTCAGACAGCAGGACCCGGTCCAGGATGTAGTCAGGAGTCAGAAACCACGGCATCCATGATGATGGGGAAGTTTGAAGGAAAGAACGTTCACTAGAAAAATGGTGGCAGCACCCTCCAAGGTGGGGTTTAGGACCAGTTTGGTTGTGTCCAGGGCCAAGCTCTTGGCCCATGGGCAGAGGAGGCAGGTGGTCCACAGCGTGCAGGGGTGTCATAACTAACTGGGCTCCCTTGGGTTGGCTTCAAGGCACCAACTGAGCCCAGGGCCTTGGGGCCTAGAGCTGCCATGCAGCTGGTATAGCTGGAAAAATGACTGTGAGGCCGGTGGCGTCCCCTGAGTGTCCAGCAGCACCGACAGGAAGAGACGGCATAATCAGGTCTTTACCCTCATGCTCCAGTGCAGCCGGGGGATCAGAGCTGCCACAGAGCCCCAATAACCCCCAGCCTCCTGGAGCCTCAGGTTAAGGTTAAATACAATGTCCACATGTGTGGGAGTCACCATCCCTGCCAGCACACACCTGTGAGTTCCAGCAATGACTGGAAAGAAGGTCCTGGGATCAGCCCTCCTGAGGTCCTGTGTGGTGGCATCTCTCAGGGTGTTAGGCCGAACATTTCCCCAGGAAACTCCCCAGGGGCAGGAGATGCTGGCCAGAGAGTGTACACTACTGGGTTTTTCAAGCCCTGACCTAGAGCACCTCAGGAGTTAAAAATAGACAGCGGACTCCAAGAGGAAAGGCCCTGCCCTGTGGTCCCACAGCACCCCCAGCACAGCAAAGGAGAGATATAAGCAGGCCCGGCTCCCATGAGAAGAGGATGAGTGGGAGTAGAGAGGTGACCAGTTAGGAGCTAGCACAGGGGTGGGGGTCTTGTCCTGGCCACAGGTCCCTATGGTGGCACATCATGGGAGGCCAATGTGGGGCCGCATGCCCACCTTCCCTGCTTGTGAAGCAGTTCTGCCTGGAGAAGTGTCCCGGGACTGCAGAGCCCTTGTACAGGCCGCTGGCCATGGGCCAGTGTCCTCACTGAGCCTCTGCTGCTGGGATGGTGCCACTGGCAAATGCTCCTATAGTGGACAGAGCACTGTGAAGCAAATACTGGCCAGACACAGATCTCTCCCTTAGCTCTGCAAAACTGGGCCCCTGACCACAGCTTGCAGGGCTAGGTTAGACATGGGGCCAGAACCAGCAGGCTGTGCTGTCAGCTCCACTCCCTGGGCCTAGGCCCCACCCTAAGCCTTAACAGGCCTCAGTCACAGACCCACAGCTCTGCACCCCACTTTACTGAAGGAGGAACTGAGGGACAGGGTGGGGCTCTCAGACAGGAAGCGGCAGAGCAGCCCCTGTCCCTGGGGTTCTGGCAATGGCCTGAGGCCCTGCCATTCCCTGGAATTCAGGGAAGTCGTGGTCAGCATGGGCGTGTCGGCCCAGCTGCGTTCTGCCAGGGACACACTTGGGGCTGAGGGACTCTGAGGCGCCCTCAGCATTTCCACCAGGGGGCAGCCCAGCCCCGTTAACCCACAGCCGCACCCAGCCTGGAGCCTCCTTGGAGCCAGAGAGACTTAGCTCCCAGTGGACAGGTTGGATCAACAGGAAAGGCCGTGCCACAGCCCAGACTCTGGCCATATAGGCTGAGGATGCAGGGGGCCAGACCTGCCTCCAGCCATGCGCCCACATGGTCTCTGAGGACGCGGGCAATCCGTGCGGTAGCTTCTCAGCTAGGAATGGATTTTCCTCCTGGCACTAAGGCCTTGGACTTGGTGCGAAGTCTTTATGCAAACTTTTCTGTGAACTATGCATCACAGCGTTACCGATCCCACCCTTCCAATACCTGGCTCAGGACTGTGGCCTGGGGCTACCTGCAAGTCATTTCCCAAGGTGCATCCACACAGCAGGGCAGGCCTGTGGTCCTGAGCACCATGGGGGACACACTCCTGTTTGTGCCACAATGGCCTGGACTGATACCATGCTCCCTCCAGCCTCCTGCTGACTGGACAGAGTGGCCAAGTGGAAGCATTATTCCTGCTTGGACTGCATGGACACCATGAGCAGAGAAGGGTGCCCGAGGCTGCTCAGACCACTTGGGGTGAGGACAGGCCCACAAGGCCTCAGACGTAGTGCAGCACAGGCTGCCAGGACGTGCTTTAGAGGCAGCAGGAAATTTTCACAAGGCCACTTTAAAACTGCCAGGCCTGGCCCCTGGCCCCAGGTCAGTCAGGATCCTGGGTGTGGGGCTCAGCAGCCTTCCCACCCCCGGCCTCCAGATGCAGAATAAGAGGCTGCGGGGACATCTCAGCCAAGCCCAGCAATTATTCCTTATGGTATCGTCAGACAAATATTTAGCCCTCTTTTTATGTAAGGTATTTTTTTTTAAGGTTTTTCTTTTTAGCCCCCCCCCCCTTTTTTTTTAAATTTTTGGGGCCAGGCACAGTGGCTCACGCCTGTAATCCCAAAATTATGGAGACCAAGGCTGGTGGATCACCTGAACTCACAAGTTCAAGACCCTCCTGAGCTAGCGCAAGACCCCCATCTCTAAAAAAGGTGTTGTGGCAGCCACCTGTCATCCCAGCTACTGAGAGGCTGAGGCAAGAGAATCACTTGTGCCCAGGAGTCTGAGGTTGCTGTGAACTATGATGCCACAGCACTCTCAAGGATGACAAAGTGAGACTCTGTCTCAAAATAATAATAATAATAAAAAAGAATAGAGTAAAATAAAACATTTTTTAATGGTAAAATATAAGTGAAATTCACCATTTTCATGTGCACAGTTCCTGTGGCACTAGGCACATTCACAGTGTCCTGCAACCGTCACCACCGTCATCATCTTCAGAACTTTCTCATCTTCCCAAACGAAGCTCTGACCCCACCAAACTCCCACCCCAGCCCCTGGCACCACCATGCTGCCTCCTGGTTCTATGGATTGGGCAACTCTGGGGACATCTTACGAGTGGACCCTGCCATGTCCATCCTTCAACTCTGGGGACCCCCTGCAAATGGACCCTGCCATGTCCATCCTCAACTCTGGTGATGCCCTCCACGTGGACCCTGCCATGTCCGCCCTTCAGCTCTGGGGATGCCCTGCAAGTGGACCCTGCCATGTCCGTCCTTCAACTCTGGGGACGCCCTGCAAATGGACCCTGCCATGTCCACCCTTCAGCTCTGGGGACCCCCTACAAGTGGACCCTGCCATGTCCATCCTTCAGCTCTGGGGACACCCTAC